AAGGGATTGACTCCCAACTTGGTTTCATTTTTTGAAATATCTGGTGGTTTTTTGCCCATTTTTATTTAGCAAAATACATGTTTAGAGGGTTCTATGTTGGGATTGAGCCTAAATTGGACACCTTACAATGCTAGATTCAAAAGCATCTTTGTGATTTTGCCAAAAGTTCATTCATACACTTACAATCACTATGTGCTATTTCCAATTTTCAAGTTTTTGAAAAACTAAGAAGTTAGCACGTATTTTATTTCATATGTTTTATATAATACATCAATATGATTTCCTAAAGTTTATAAAATTATATATTTTCAAATTATTCTCAAAGTAACAAGACCAATATATGTAACATTCAGTTTTTACTGTTTCTTGTCAATAAATGAATTACATTAAATTCTAGCAGAAGTAGAAGTAGAAGAGTAACTTGAAGGAAGTAAAGTGGCCTTGCTAGCCTTATGTAAAGTGAAATGTCTTTTGAATAATACATTTTTCAGTGTTATGAATCTGGCTAGAGAAAACTGCTGATCATAACTAGAGATTCGCTTTGCAAGAGTACAGTTTGTGGTACATATGAAATTTTCAGATCTGAAACCCCTACTTCAAAATTATGATTGTTACAAAAACGAACAATTTAGAATTTGATTATCTCAATAACCATCGTACAATATTTGTAAATGATTATAAGGAAGTAATGATAAAGGAAAATTTGTTTGCTAGTCTGCCCCGAATATAAAGCCATGAAGTTGACATGCACTTATTGACTGATAGGTCTACCACACAGGCAGACACTCATAATGAAACCCATAATACACCCATAAAGAAGAGAATCTAGCCAGAAGGTTATTAAAATTCTTTTATTAAGATAAGCTTTAAATTATTTGCTATTATATTAAGGAATAGAATGAATGAATACAGTGAAAACTTCATGGGCAAATAACAATGTGGATTCAGGAAGGGCATGAGCCCAAAGATTGCTGTATTAAACAAAAGAAATAAAGATACTTACCAACATACATGATATTCATGGACTTGGAATAGGCTTATGATATGGTGAACAGGATTAATCTGTAGAAAACTTTAGAAGAAGAAGGAATACCAGAAGAAATTATCAATGAAATAAAACACACTATATAAACTCAAAAACTGCCATAGAAATTAATAATGAGACCATCACAAAATCAGAACAGACTACAGAGACAGGGATGCAGCCTAACACCCTAACTTCACAATATTTATGCCAACAGTCTCATCAAATGGAAGAAGTCAGTAAATCAAGGTATACAACTTAACAAAAATCAAACTATGCAAACAGTCCTGCAGATGATCAAATAATTTTGGCTGAATCAGAAGTGGAACTCCAAATAGCAAGATTCGAATGAAAGGAACTAAGAAGAGTGATCATTGAAGAGGAAATAATAGAGCAAGCATGAATATTGAAATATTTAAGCAATGACATGGAGTAAACTCCCAGGACCTCCAACACAAAATTTTGAAATATAATAGAATAAATGGAATAATTAAAAGACACTTTGGGAAGGACATGACACAAGAAACCAAATTAAGAATACACAACATGACAGCCAAACCAATGCTATTATATGGATCAGAAACCTGGGTCCTATAACAAAGAGACAACCAAAGACTGGAAGCAACTCAAATGAGGCTGAGACACCTCCTTGGCTATATTAGACTGGATCGGTAGAGAAATAAAGACAGAAGGAAAATATTGAAGATAACAAACATAACAGAGAAAGTTAAAAAGAACCAGAAAAAATGGCTGGAACATATTGAAAGAAGGATGATTCCCAAAGACTGCCCTAAAGTATAAGCTACTTGAACACAGAGATATAGGAAGACCAAGAAAGAAGTGGATCACGCAGGAACACCTGGAAGACTTAAGTATTTCAGGTCTACTGCTAAACCAGGAACAGATCCCTCCTGGCCTTTCATCCTGCAGTTTGTGATAATGAGGATATTGAGATAAGGCAAAATCTTCCTTTAAATAAATATTAAGACACACACTGGGCCTTTGAAATGATCCAAGCTCCCTATGGTGTTATCAATATTCGCCAAACAGTTGCCAGAAGAAACATTTCATGATTGGTAAATTTGAGATGCGTTTTATATTAATAAAGAAACAATATAAGAAAATGGAGTAAAATAATCGAGCAGAATGTATGTATGCTACTGGTCAGGAAAGTAATTTGTAATTGAAGTAGTAAACTATGTTTTCAACCACTACATTGATATTGACCATAAGTTTGGAACTAGGAGTATTTATCTCATAGATTAAATAACCTCATATATGAAGAAATAATGATCTACAAATATTACAAGATGTCAAATTAAAGACTACCTGTTTCTCTTTTCATATTATTGTAACAATATAAATAAGAGCTTCCAACATTACTCAAGTTCAGGGAACCCCAAACACTTTTTGGAATCATCCCCTTTTAAAGAATTGTGTGCTTTATTGACCTTCTTACATTATCTTCTCTATACTACATAGCATACGTGTTATTTGTCTTTGGTATCTTTAGATTAAAGACAATCATATATTAAAATAGAACACATACAAAACAAAATGTTTGAAATCACATTGATTTATATTCCATTATTAGATTTTGTTACATATGTAGGTACAATGTTTTGTGATGGGTTTCAATGCTTCTTCAGGTACATTCTGTAAACAAAGATTTGTAGCTAGGTTAAATATCTAATTGAAAAATTAAAATACAAAAAACATTCAAGCACAAATCATAGCGAGGAAAAAGACTCACCTTGTCAAATATTATACAAAGTTATTAACATTGTACTCACCATATTTATAAAATATCCGGAATAAATGTGTTGGGCAACACATTATCTAAAATTACTTTAATTGGAAGACTAGAAATTTTAAGGTCTCAGACTGTTGTGTGGCCTGGACGACAGTGGGTGTTTTTGGTGTTTTGTATTTTAATTTGTTTTATTAGATTTTTAATGTAGCTATAATTCTTTATTTACAGAATGTACCTGAAGAAGCGATGAAACACCTATCAATATGTTCGTAAATAAATTGATTTTCAATGATCGGAGACACATCTGCTTGTGAGTGACTGAGTTTTATAATCTTGTGCTGAAGCTCCAGAATGCAGTCTGTATTGAGCATTGTGTGTATGCGTGTTGAATACATTTTGCAAAAGTACATTCCCGCCTAAGATATGATATAATATTCTCAGGAAAATCATCCTATAATACCCAGACTTTTAGATTGTTGGAAAAAATATTTGAATAATAAAAAACTGCCATCCTCATGACTCCTACAAGCCTCTCTTCATTGAACTTGAAATCTTACTATTGCCTTGCCTATTTATTAATGAATGTGTAGTTTCTGTCAAAACTGACTTATTTAACTGTGGAAACACATTTTCATGTAATACTGATATTTATTATAACATCACATGTCGTTGAAATCACATACATCAGGTGTCATTATCAACAACTCACTACAAGAAATCCACAATATATCTATGTTACTTTACAATACATTGCCAATAATATTAAACAATTATAATCAGTACACAAATTTAAGTTAAAAGTAAAACCTTTTCTGCATAACTGATTCTATACAATTAGGGAATATAATGATAATCAAAAAGAAAAATAATGTTTATTTTAATAGTGATATGTGGAGGGCGTATTTAAATGAAATGTCTTTTTTTTTTTTTCTTTTTTTTTTTTTTCTTTTCACATTAGAACAATGATTTTTTGTATAGATATTAATTTTAAGTTACATCAAAAGGAAATGGCCTGTTCTTATACAACATTTTTTTCATTTTACTTGATGTCGACTAATAAGTCATTTTTCCCTTTTTCTGTAATTTTTAAAGTATTTTTCACTGATTTCACTAATTTTAATACCTTTTTAATGGTACTTGCTTCAAAGAATCTTTACAAGATGCAATAACTGTTCTTCCCCATATATCACATACAAGTTTTACTGATGCACTGAGTAAATAAATCAAATTAAAGCAAATACACAGAATTCCTAAGTAGCCTATTAAATTTCTTTGCTCACAAATTGTAATATCAGTGGTTGAATGTAATTTAAGGTTCCTGTGACACCTATCAGCACCATTGTTGGTTTGGCTGATTTTAGGACAACTAAAGAGAGATATTTCCAAATGAAAAGCATATTAATAATAATAATGTTACTGATTAATTATAGCAGGTCCCCTTTTACCTGGGCCTACGCGCATTGTGGGCCTTGCAGGCCTGGATGTTACGGTACTGAAGATTCATCGAAGCACAAGAAAGTAGCATGGTGAGTACTTGTTCTGTGATAGCATTGATGTGTAAGGCTTGGAGTTTTATGCAATTGCTTTTGTGTGTGTTTTTGTAGTCAAAGAAGTCCAGGATTTTGTTTTCTATCAGAATTGATGTTCCTAGATGTTAATTTCAAAATTTTATTTTGAATATTTTTGACAATTTGAAGTATATTAAAAATTGTATTTGGCTAATTCCATATTTCAGAGTTATACTGAATTATATAGTATATTTAATGATTAATTAATTAATATGTTCATTGCATGTTCAGGTTGACTTTAGTTTACTTTTTTGCTAATTTTTGCTATTAAAATTCTGTTAATATAGAATTTCTAGGTACTTAGTCTATAACTTATCTTACAAGTATTTATTTTTTCTTTTATGTCCTTTAATAACAATGCATGTGCTACGAAGGAACAATTATACAAACAGAGCAGTTTGATTTTTATTTTTTCCAGGTTTTATTTTGAATTCAGCAAGTCAAACACACAATATAAGCATACCCTTAATTTGTATGTGTAACCCAATAAACGCAACCCTTAAATTGCATACCTATTCTGTGCTGAAAAAGGTATAAATATAGACACAGAACAGAATTCAAAAATACAACATGAAACAAAGAAGACAAAAAATATCAAAAATGATTTGGATGAAAACTCAATAAATAAAAAAGTACCATCATGACTTCACATAATATAACTTGAAAAATCTTTAAAACATTTTTAATTTTTTTTAATCTTTAAATTTACAATATTTACAAATAACATAATCAAATATATCAGAGTTACACTAAGCTACATAGTGGAAAACGGAAATACAGGAAGCTACATAGTGCCACAGATTCAACCAATTTAAGAAAATCTAAGATACTTGCAGTACTGAATACAAATGGAAGCCTAAAATCACAGAATTGTTTCCTACTTCACAGACTGAGGAGCTCCCTCAAATCGTATTCTTGGAATACCTGATTTTGTAGAATCAATGACTTCCCATCTCCCTTTTGTCTTGAGCTTGGGATTGGTTGGGTGTATGTTACTGTTGTGTTTTTATTCTGTAATGTGAAGTAAAGTTAATGCATATTTTTCACATTTTTCTGCATATTTTTGGGTATTTTATTCTGTGTAAATATCTAAGCCCCACTGATGTTTAATCCTCATTTAAATGCACAAGAAATCAATGTTGAACATCTCAAGGACAATCAATTAGGCCTGAAGACATTCGTAGCCAATGGCTTATAACTTTTTTCTTGTCTTCAAAACATCTTGGCAGATTTCTTCTGAGCATTTGCAAAAATAAAGATGATTTTGTATTTTAAAGTACAGTAAATTGACACAATATATATAGTAAAAACATTTTATTTAAATTTGTATACTAAAACAACCAAATAACATATCACAGTGTTCTCTTGAACACATTCAAGAGTTAAGAAGAGGAATTGAGAATACAGTTGGTATCTACATCCCCTAACATTTCATAAATCTATCTTAAAACTTAACATCTACACAAGGCTTTGCTGTGGAATACAAAATATTTGCGCACACAAAGCAGTGAATCTCAATCTGACACTCTCATCTACATGTTTCCACACATTTCTGATAAACATTCCACGTCTCACATTTCTTAGTACGTCTTAGCATAGCTATGATGTATCAAAGTTCAACCAAAATTCCTGCAATATCCATGATGTTCAGGACATTTGATATCAGAAAGGCCAATATTAGGGATGCAGATTCAGGGTAAATTTGAAAATTTAATCTATCTTAAAGTATGTTTGTGTAACCACACACTTGTATATTTTTATTTCTATCAGATGATTTTTGACTTGAAAAAATAAATCCTAAAAATTGTATGAATACAACTTAAATAACTAAGTAATAATTCAAACACAGGAACAAAATAAATATTAGTATTGAATATACTAATCACAGTTAAGACATCCCTCTGAATGTGTAAATTAATATATAAGCAGAAATTAAGGATCAGATCTTTCTGAAACATCACAACTTAACCATGGAATGGTAAGTGGAATTCAACATATAATTCATTATAAGTGGAAAATTTCAGTTAGAAGTAAGAAACAAATGTCATGCGAGATCCAGATGAAATATGAAGTAAGATTTTAAAATCTGATACCTATACCATATATTAGGTACTGCTACTTCTTCTGCAATGTGTGGCAGAACTTTGTTGAAATATTCAACCTAGAATCAGTAACACTACAGTATTTCCCTTTAACACATAGTTATTGTCAGGTATTTCTTTGTCAATAGTATGAATGTTTGCTCCAAAGGATGCATATTATATATTTAGTGTAGATAAATACTGTTGATCTATTAACTATAAAATAAATATTGTGAAATCCAACAGCTTGCATTGCACATCAATTGCATTAAAACCATTCAGTTTCAAATCACCATCACATATCACTGGCCAAAGCACCATTGCCAACACGCAAACACTTTGCACATTTCCTCACTTTCTTTGATAGTAAGGAGCATGACAAGACATGGAAGAGCATAATTAACAAATGAAAGTTTCTTCTATGAGTAATGCAGATGTCATAGCCTCATTTCATTTATACAACCATGATTCATCCTAAATTCAACGTATTTGAGGCCGGTGTTATGCCAATAGTACAATGCTATGACAACAAAAAGATGCCACCACTGATGTGATGATCCAATGTAATCAACACGACCTGAAATTTAAATATAATTATAACATAAAAATACGTAATAAAATCAGCCATATTAATTTATATGTGTACTATTAATCCATATAAAACTCTTCCTTTGAATAATGGTTGCTTACCAGAGAAAAATCTCTCAGGCACTTTAGTAATGTATATTAGGAAAGCCAACCCACTGATAAAATACATGCCAAGAACTCGAGGCAAGAGCATCTGCAAAGGAAAACATAAATATTAAAATTCGGCATAAATGTAATGAAAGTACAGTTTTGTCACACTTACAAATGGGCAGAACTAGGAGAGGGAGCCCAGATGCAATATCAAGTGTAGTCCAAAGCAAGATACTGAATATGTGCAAGATAATTTTTAACAAGAGCAGAATAAGAAAATATTGTCCTGTGAAACAAACAACTGGAAGATCTCATATTTTGGCTCCTTTTCTTCCCATTTAAAATAGATCTTTCCCAAAAGATGAAGCAGAAAAGGCTGTCAAAACTTTGTGAATGTCATTGCATTACGTGAAATAAAAACAACTCTTCAGTAAATGCAGAAACTAAAATAGAGACTTTTTTATTCTTGAAATGTTTAAGTAAGTTTTATTTTATCATTATGTTGTGCTCCTGGTGTAGGTTCTGGAGAAAATAATTGTGTGAATAAAATTCTTTAAAAGCACACAGGCACATTAGACAAATCTGTTAAGCACATTTATGGTCTCTTGAAATCACTGAATTCAATTAGGGGAACTTGCATTACTAAAACAATATTTGAAGCAAGGGATCATCAAAGAAATACGGGTAGAATCACCCAAGATTAATCCCAAGATTTATAGTAATATCATTGCAGATGTCACCAGCAACAAATTATTGGAGGGGATTCAGTAGATAAAATTACAGATTACCAGAGAGTTTCCTCCGAGATATTCACACACCGAACAATATTAAGGGGGATGCCCATGCATCTTATTATGACTTCCATAACAATTTGATAATGGTGTCTACACCATATAAAAAAATTGTGTAAATGGATTCTTCTTCTTTCAAGTTTACGACAGTTAAATTGTGTAAGTGTAAATGAATAAAGATAATCTATTCAATGGCCTAAACGGTCTTTCATCTAAAAGTTATGAGGTTGTTTTGTATCCTACTGAAAATTTTCCAATTTATGTTTTCTCTCTTAATTCACTGAGTATCAAAAATGAAAACAATTTTTTAAAAGAACAATTTTAAGAGAACAAACACAGAGAACTTATACTACTATTTATTTAAGCTGTACTTAAATTTTAAAAATTTGGTACCAAATTTGTGGTTAAGCACCAAAATACATATTATTGTTTCATTCTGTCATAAAAATTGTGTAAAAATGCATAGTGCAATATGCAGATTGAGAATATCACCTCAACAACTGGATTTGCAAGACCACCCATAATGACTGTCCAATGGAAAGTTGGAACAACTCCATAAGCTGCCCATGATACAAACACAAGCATTTTTACATGAGCATCAATTCCAAATTTAGGTATTTGAATTATCATAGCAGCTGCAAATATGAGAGCTACAGTCACCAAGTAGAATGTTTGCCAATTCTGAAAACAAAACAAAACATTAATTAATTATGGTTCCTATCTAAAAGCTCTTAAGTAAACTAAAATGACTGAAAGACCTATAAAGATATAGTTAAGAAGTCGAGTAAAAAAATGTTGTTAACTATCTTGATTGCCAATTTAATCAGCTAAAAAAGAATATACATTGCTATACGACTGGGACTATATCTTACCTTGTGACACCAAAATGCATAATAAACACCAGACATGTAGATAGCCAGGAGACTCAATGCAATACCAAAAAGGTCAAATGACAGAAAGCATACATAGTCTTTCTCTGACCGGCATGAGAATGTGTGGTATAGAGATGACAAAATCATGCATACCTGAAAAAATTAAATTCTGTTGGTGAGTTTTTGGTTGATTGCTGTTGTTTCTTTTTCTGTTTTCCATTGTTTGAAAATTACAAACAATTCTAGTGTGCAAATACCTATTATCAGAAATGTTTTTCTATATTTAAAAGTCTTTGTTATGTCACAAAATATTATTCTCACTTGCATAAATTCATTTTACATACTTATTTGAAACCCTAAAATATCCCTATTCATTGACATAAAAAATTAATCATGTACTATTCAGTTACCCATTATACTAGCTCAAAACTTACTTGAAAACAGAAGAGCAATACTCCAACAATAAATTTATCCAATGCGGAAGCATGAATGTTGAGCAATACCAAGTCATACAATGTCAGACCAAGGAAGAGCATCCATCCAAATATGTGACTCCATATGTTGATAGTTTCATTTGTCCACCAAAAAATGCTGAAATAAAAATGATAGTAGTAATATATAAAATAGTTTATATGTCTTCTGAGCAATTTATTGGATAATAGGGATTATTATCATTTTTGCTGACCATCTACACTTATTTACATAAGTAAACTATATTCTGAACTATGCATTACATATTTTCCCTACTTGGGAACTATGTTGTATTGAAATCAATATACATGAAATTGCAACCAGAAAATTTTGGGGAGAAGATATACACATTTTGGATTACTCTTAAGATTATACTTCATTTTCAAAATTTTCTCAAAGAATTACCTAAAGATTTTTTTCAATTTTAGATTGTGAAGAAAGTCAAAGGTTCTTAATAATGAATAGGGAAATCAAAATTTCATTAAGCCTTCTGAAGTTTCCACAATTACATATTTGCCATATGTGCTCGACTACTCATCTAGTGTTGAGATACATGATGACTGATAGTGATTGAATAACTTCTGGCTACACAGAGGCTTAGATATATGAAGATGTTTCTTAAAATGTAAAAACTTTTTGCATGTAAATGAGCATGTTTTTGTATCAGTTTCGATCGATCCCTTTGCAGTAACTGTTCTGTGTCATTTTATTTATTTTGTTACTTGTATGTTATTTATTGTATATGAAAATGAAAGATGAGAAAAAAAGATTGAATGGAGCAGAGTATCACAAATGAGCAAGTGAAACGTTAAAACAAAGGGAAGAAGTATTAAATAAAACCCTATAATTTGATGTTTTTAGTTTGTTTTTCAAAAATATTACAAAAAAAGTTTGCTTTGCAGCAGGAAAAAAGGTGTGCTAATTTTTTAAGTACATATTTTAAATCAAAAACTCAAAATATTGCTGTTTTATATCCTATTCTCGTCATACATTATATGTGTTTTTTTAATATTGTGTGAGCTTATGGACCTTGGTAATCACTCCAGGAGTAAGATCTAGCTGCACATTTCCAGGGATAATTAAAATATTTTAATTTTTGGGGAAATTTACATGTAGCTCCTGTGACATTTTGGAAGTTATCTAGTAAATGGCAACAGTTGTTTTTTTTTCTTTAAAATAGAGGAAAGTTCTTTTATAAATTTGGTACATTAGTTCCTATTTTCATTAAAATCTTTGAAATTTTGGAAATTGTAAAAGTTTTGTTCGAACCTGTCATACACCTCCAACACTGAAACCATAGATTTCTTTCACAATGTAATTTATACCTCTTTTGTAGATCTTTAAATGCTGTCATAACTTTTTTTTAATATGAGTTGTTCTTGAATTATAATACAAAGATAAGAAGAAGTTTCAAAATGTCGTGCATTCCCATTAGCTTTTTTTGTTGTGTTTCACATTAATATTAAATTATGGTCTAATATAACCCTAATGAACATGAAATTCAAATCAAACATTGCCATACACCATGCGTAAATCCATGGGGAGGAATATGAGGGAAATCTCCCCCTCTAAAAGTTTCCATTAATTCTATTAATTTTAACTTGTCACAAAACATTCAAACAAAAATATTTTCAGATAATTATTAAAACTAATAAAAGCATCATAATCATAGCACAGCAGGAGCTGAGTGTAGCCTGTGAGATTTTGCAAACTCTGTAATATGACAGATTGAACTAAAACATATTTATTTTCGCCTCTCAAAATTTTCCTCTGGATCTGACACTGTATAAACGGATAATATTCTAATTTCCTCATCCAAATGACAAATTTTTAAAACATCGCAAGTTATTTGGATTTGTTCAGAGTAATAAAAAGGTCCTGCAGCATTTAAGAAAGTATTTTCACCACTCACTTCATCTGACGATTCTTAAATGCTACGATAAAGAATTGATGGATCCAAGGGGGACAGGTACGTTGATTATGCAAATATTTTACTTTCTCGCGCTTAAGAAGGCTTAATGCTACGCAATTTTCGGCAGAAAAACTCTTAGTAAAGGGCCCAGGTAAAGAAAAAGTGGATAAATCGAGTTGCTAAACCTAAAAAAACTCTAACAAGTGGTGTAGCCAGAATCCAAATTTTATGGGCCCTCGATATCAAAAAGTCGATTGACCCGACAAAAAGTCTGTTCGTCTGTCTGTCTATGAACAACGCTAGCGGCTAAACCGTTCCGCCGATCTTCTGCAAAACTGATATTCTCCAATCGATCTGGTTGATGTCACGGCCCCTTCAATTTGAAACCAATATTTTAATTTTCGCGGGGTACTTTACATGAAACCCCGAGGACATTTGCAAAATTTTCAAAAAAAATTGCTCCATTGTTTTTGATTAAATTTTGTTTTTGGATAGTCGTTTTATTACGACATTTAAGAGAACGGCACGTCTCATACTGATCAAAAGACCTATTTTTTGAAAATTACAAAAATTCAAAAATCTTTCGGCGTCTTCCTAAAACTAAAATGGTAAAGATAGAGATTTTCCTTAATAAAATATTTTCTGAAAGATAGATTTTGAAATAAGGTCACGTACAATTTTTCGCATAGTTTTGGGTGAAAAATAGGCAATTTTTAATTTTGTTCAAACAATTTATTCTCAAAAAGGACTTCATCGTTTTTGATTAAATTTTGTTGCCTGAAGGGCGTTTAAGAGAAAGATGCAAGTATCATGTTGGTTAAAAATAATGATTTTTCGAAAATTGAAAAAAAATATTTTTTTTTTATTTCTTACAACTACAATTATGAAGATACTATTGTTTTCTTAATGAAACGTGTTCATAAAAACAGATATTCAAATAATGTCATGTTATTTCTTTGAAAATTGTGAGTATTTTTTTACGTAAATTGAAAAAGAATTTGAAATCGTAAATTGGAACTTCCATCGCTCCGTTTGAGTGTCAGTCTGTAAAAGTAATTTGAGAAGTAGAGGTAGTTGGATATTCTGAAAATCACTTCCCATTGTTTACTTGAATATTAATTAATTTAATATTACAAATCGTAGAACATTAGGTACGAAAATTTATTTATATATTAGTTGCGATGTAAATCCATATTACGTACTGAGTTACAAATATTGCGTGGAAGAAGATTTCTTGCAACCATTTGCTCGAAGAGCAAAGTAATATTTAGGTGATTAATTTGGAATATTTACTCATTTGAATGTTTCTTTCAGGGTCTAGAAAGAATTGTAATTTCTAAGATTTATCTTGATGGATGCGAATTTTATTTTACTTTTAATTACAATTTACTTAATTTAATTATAATTATCGTTTGAATTACAATTTACTACTGAAAATAATTTTGTACAATCTTTGATTTAATACACGATAATTTGAAATTCACTTTTCAGCTACTTGGTCACTCTGGTTATAAAGTTGCAATCTGAAAATTGGAACGTCGCTATACGGGGTGAAGTTCACAAAATAATCAATCTCAATGTCATGCAGTGTTTGTACTCGTAAAAGAGTGTTTCTTGTGAAAGAAGGTGCTATCCACAACCAGGACATAGTAGATGTAAATAATGGATTTACATTTTGCATTTCTGGCGATAATATTCGCTAAAGTGGGAAGAGCTTGTAGGCTGTCATTCGAGACTTGAGAAGAAATCCCTTTCTTCCAAAACTTCCTTGTCTGAGTAACGCGAAAACGCATTGGGAAATTGCGCCACACCGTAATTCCCATGAAATTGGTATTACTGTGTGGAACTCATTCCGTTTTGACTAATGTTTGTGTGGACAGTGCTGAAATAATTAATGCTTCTGGCAAAATGAAGTTTCTGCAACACATAATTCGTATACGATTATTTAGGCGCTCATTCATATAAGTATAACATAGTTGGAGATAAGATCTTCAAGAATGTGTGAAAGTGTGACATTCAAGGGATCAGGTCTTTTGTAATACTTTGTACCAGGGAAAATTATAATTGCACTATAATGAAGAGCTGTAAATGATTTGAAATTAAGATATTTGTTCACTTTTAAGCGCATCTAACAAACATGACGGGTCACTATTACATACTATCTAATGCTAACAAAAAACGGAATTGATCAATTCTCTTTCGATTTCAATTACATTTACCCATGGTCGAATTTAAATTATGTGATCTCGAAGCACAAAATTGTTTTGGGGTACCCCTTTAGAAAAAGAAATTCTTCTCATTTTCTCTTTTTTTGCTAGCGGTATCAACAATGGTAATTGACAAAATGTATCCCAAACACATTTATGTAATGCCGCACTGATAAAAGAAGGCGATAATGACTGTAGTCTTTTCGCGTTAATATAAACTAATAATTTTATTTACGGTTCAAATACGCATCGTGCATCGTTTTTGTAGAACGTGAATATACTGAATTCAATGGCAGAAAGCTGTTTAAACGTTTGAATTTAAAAAACATGAGTATTTTTCACGCTTTGTTTCAGAATTTTTCAAACGGTTGTTGAAGTGTAAGACAGAAATTGTCATATTATAATATTAAATAGCCATTAACAATGTCGCGAGAACGTACGGGCTGTTGTACCACTAGTTGTCTTAAAACTTTAACTCAATTTGATATAATAATGATTGAATAATGAATACGAACCATGGGGGCGTAAAGGTCCTACGAATCGATCTCATCACATTCGAAGCAGTATTCCTATTATACATGAATGCATTCATTTTTTATATCAAGCTAACAACCAAAAAATTTTATTCCAAAAACATTCACGGGTTCTGAACTGAAATCCTCTGTGGCAAAGTCTGCGCGAGCCACTCACCTTTCGAGGCACATTCGCGTGGTGAGGTAGCCGCGGTAGCCGGACTTGATGTAGGGGTTGAACTGCAGGTAGGTGGGCGCCTCGTTGAAGGAGAGCAGCCCGTACATGCGCGAGACGCCGCGCTGCTTCGCCTTGAGGTCGGCGCCGGCGCCGGCAGCTGCGCCGTCGCTGGGGACGGCAGGGGCCAGCGGCTGGCTCGCCGGCGCGTCCGCCTCCGCGCACCCCTTCTCATCTTTGCCGTCCTCCTTCTGCGACAGCCAAAACACGTTCTCTCGTCACACGAATACTTCGAAAGAACAGAAAGTTGTGCCATGTTTTTATTCTTTGTTTTATTCTCCCTTCTCTCATTCAAACATGTGTTTTCATTGGTTTCAATAATATATCGACCATGTTATTTTATCATTAAAACTGTTATTTACGGTATGAACGACTAAATCAATTTCTGTGTAATCAAGGAACAATAGAAACTTTGCGTTCAGTCTGTTTTGTGAATTACCTTTCGAAAGAGCAGTCAGCAGGTTTGAAATATGAGCCTCTTAAAAAAGTGAAACCTTTGGTTAACTTTTGTTTTAAACCCGATTCTGATACATTTTGCACAATAATACGTGATTAAAGAGCTTATTTTCCAAGTATCTTCTCTGCATTTCAGTTTTTTGTTTTAGTTTTACGTAGCACTACATACTTAAAACATTTCTCTATCACGCTGCCAAATATTATGTTCAAATATAGCGTTTCTCTTATGTTAAGAGGTATCTCAAAACCGGTCAATCCCATCCTTTTCTACAACACTGATCCTTCAAAGCTGTTGTGAAGATACGTCACTTTGGAAATGAGTTATTCAATTACGAACTAGTATTTAATATTTCCGAAAACGGAGATTTGATTTCCGGTTCATATTGACTGATTCTGACCCCACCAAAGGCTATTGATCTTTTAATTTTTGCAGTGCGTGAAGGATGTATTATTTTAATGTTAAAGTTACGATTAGGAAGGGTGTAATGGGCAAAGGTGGAATTGGCGAGAATCAGTCAATTTAATATCAAGAGTGTTAAAAAATATCTTTGGGGAATCGAGATTTTGTTGACGATGGTAATAGGTGAAAACAGATGATTTTTGGACATGAGATTTAACAGAGAGAGAGAGAGAGACAGACAGACAAACAGACAGAAAGACAGAGAAATGGCTGGTGAGAGGGGGAGGGGAGAGGGAAAAGTAAAGCATCCATATGTGTGGAGCTTTTTGAAAAATGGACGTAATGTGTGGTTTCCAAATTCATCGACTGCTCATTGGAATTTCTAGATATACGAGTAGGTATTATAATAGTTTTAGTGGTAGGGTTTCTGAGGTCGAATATGTTTTTGCATGGTTTACTTTAATCACCATTTTTGAGAACACATTAGTCAGAATATGAAGGAAAGATTGAATGTGATGTAAGTATGATATATGCTAAAAGTATGGATAGATATACCGATGATTTCCGTACACATTGTTTACTTTTTTAAATGCATTGGAGTGATTTTTATCCGAAAAAATCTCTTCCAAATTATTCGCAAACAGGGAAGATGAGAGTGTTTTAACACATCTTGATATAACAGCAAACATTATTTCAACTTCAGGAATATTTACATGAATGCATAAAACAAGTGATATCCTGATGCTCCTCTTGCAAACGTACAAAAATTGTGGTATAGACATGGAAGTTGAATCTCCTTCGGCTCGCTTTGTGACTTTGCGTCATTACGACCTTGATTTCGGATCTCCGCGTTTATATAAATCGGAACGACTCCGTAAGCGGAAGAGCAGGCTGAATGGGAAAGGAAGGATCGAGCGCAGCCCCGGATTTGCAGTCGGGGCGTTTTCGTGTAGTCAATGAATAGCAGAAATAACCAACCTAACTACACAATATGTTTCGACGCATCTTTGTCCTTAGGTTCGTCTTTCTGGTGGAGAAAATGGATTCGCGAAAGAATTTAACGGGTTATTATAGACCTAACTTCATTTCACAATTCCCCCGTATTCACCACGTCATCATCACGAATCTGGCCCTCACTCGTCGTCCCATCCATTATTCCAGCAATTCTGGGAGATCTCTGCGTCGGGGTGGGCGTCTGCAGGACTTCAACTGGCTTCGCCTCATGAGCTGAATAAATACACAAAGAAATAATATAAAATACGTATGAATATATGAAGTATTTCAAGATATTTTATACATTGTGTTCTGTATATTATATGGTATTTACCTAAATTATTTATTACCGTTCAAAAATAAACAACTGCTAGCTAAGTAACGGGACCACTTTGTTAAAGAGGTATTTCAGTCGATTTATTCGACTCTATTAATCTATTTAGTACTGCATTGGAATACATTAGACCCACCATTTCTTTAATATGAAGCAATGGGATATCAACCAGGCCTTAGGCGCTGTTTTTCACCAGCTGTTAAGACGGTTCCAATTCTGTAGTTAAGTCACTGAAATATTTAGAGAATAAAAAATACTGAATTTTATCTTGATTGATTAGTGTTTCCGGATCCCCCCAATGCTACGATCATTAACCCCGTAAGTGTAGAGCATTTTTTGCGATAATTGGCGGTGATCTTTGTCGCTGGATGGTGAGTTCCGGTGCGGACCTACACGTTGGCTCGCGGGGCTTCCCCTAATCGGGTGTGTCCCACCAGCTGGAACGAGCTGAGATCTCCCGACCGGTCTCCCAGCAAGTGTGGTAGTGCAGTGCATGTAAGTGTAAGAGTAAGTAAGGGGCCCGTTTCTGAGAATAATGTTCCGGAATTCGTGTGGTGTCAGCACTGCCGGCCAATACAAGTCTCCTCCAGACGGCGGCTGAGAAAAAAGTATCTTATGCGGACGCAGAAGAATTTTTGTTGTGCATGTGTGAGTGGTTGTTGTTCGGTGGTTGTGAAATGCATTGTTCGAATGGGCACGTGAGTGGGTGCAATTTCAAGTGGAATACCTAAATGAGTAATTCCTATGACCTTCTTCATTGTAATATGATAAAGTCGCATAGTTAAGATATGCGGTTGCGTGTTGCGTGCTATCCGCAAGTTCATCATTCTTATCCTCCCTTGAGAACCTTCGCAGCGTTGGCTTCGCGCTCGGGTTGGCATACTTCACGTCCGGTGCGAAAGCACTTTATGGCCAAAGAATCGTGTCGATTACGTAGTAGTTTTTGAAAACTAACCGTTTCTAATTAGATTGATATTTTTTCTATAAATTCTCTCATAATTTGACTAACTATCGAAGGAGATTAGATTAGTACTGATATTATTTCTCGAAATGCATTAATACACGATTCAGAATTATTAACAGAAATTAACATAACACGAACATTAAAGATCCAGACGATCAGTTAAAGACGAGTGTGAGCGCATGTGATGGAAATATTGATTTTCCTCCCTTAATATTGAGAAGAAAAAAACAGAGGGCATCTGTGAGAAAGAAAATCAGTCACTGATTTGATGAGAATCTTTCAAACAAAAGGAGATACTCGTAAGAGTCATTGCATGAGAAGGTATTGTACCCATCAAAACGGACCTCAAAATGTAGAGAAAATATCATTGTCATGAAACGCCCTGTAAATGTCTAGTCAAAGGAATAAGACAATATTACTGTTTTAAATAAAAATCAAACCACAATGCTGTAATAATGCTCATACATAACACGGATGAGTGTGTTAGTAACAAAACATGAATTCAATGAAGTGGAAATTGTGTCTCACACGGTTTATGGTGCCGATACCGCGCGATATCCGAATCTAAAATATTAAAAAAAATATAAAGTAACATACGTTAACTGAGCCAGACCACAGAAAAGAGCCGTCAATATCTCTGAACTCGTTTAAAATATCCTTCCTCCAGGACCCTGAAATCGTAAATAAAATGCAAAGAAACAGGAATAATATCCCAGGCGATTACTGGCACCTCTTGCACGTTGTTAGTGGCTTAAAATCGTCGAACGTTAGAGGTGGAAAGGGAATTAATGAATCAAAAATGGACTAGGCTTCGTAGTTACAAGGAATTTAATTATTTGAAGATCGCTATTTCAAATGCGATCCAAACAAAAATTAACTATAAAACCATAAATTAAAAAAGTTACGAGATAAATTAATCAAGTGCTTACAACAGTAAATAAAATGTTCCAGATGGCAGTGCGGGTCACGTTCTTGTATAACGGCACAAATGGGAAATAACAAAAAGGGAAGAATAAGGTTGAGAAGCTTTGGAGATGAACTTAAAAAGGATAAGAAGGAATTTCAAGTTCTTGAAATAGAAACAAAAATAATTTGAATAGAATAGTACAAGTATTTTATAGAAGAGACGAAGACAAGAACATTTTTACTGATTGTTTGATAATTAAGTAACAGGACTAAAAGGCTATATTTTATGTTCCATATTCGCAGTGTTTTTGCTGCTAAAATGACGAACTGAACCCACTATTCAAGAGCAATACGGGCGGTCCCTTTGAGCTGAGATTCGAGAAAGCTATTTAAGAGGGCGAAGATACGTTTAAAATATTATCCATTTATCACTGATCGTTTTTAGTAAATCAACTGAATGGTTTGTGTTCTTATTCTAGCAGAATGAAAATGGGTTTCAGAGAACTCTGCTAAAACTTCAGTGCACTGAATTGCAACTTCGAAAGTACAGGGACCAGCAGTAAGAGATGTCCCTGGCGATTTGGCGCGACATATGAATGAACTTGCACTACGCGAACTGAACACCCTGGCCGTCACGTCGTCTGGTGATGGCGGAGAGAGTTGAAAGAGATCGGAAACGGATGTTTTTAGTTTAGGAATATTCGGCTGCGCAAGCGCAGAACGCGGCGCTCGGCGAAGTGGAGATTCTGTAGCGCCGGACCTTCTGGGTATGGGGATCATGTAACACCAAGCCAACATTTTTACTTCCTTATACAGTATCAGATAAAGTTACGTAATGCTACAAGAAAGTTGACATTTTGAAGGAAACATACATTTTTATTGTTTTTTTGTGGAGTCTGATACCGAAAAATCTGGTGTTGTTTCTCCAAAAACATCTGTTTGTCTGTCCGTCCGTCTGCTCGTACGTGTGTCCGTTCGTCTAAACGGAAAAAGAACAATTTGCGCTTAGTTATAAGGTGCAAGTGGAATTTTATTAAAGCCTCTGAATTTTCAAAAGTGGAAAAGTTTTGTTTTTTTTAAACTTGACTTTCATTATTGAAGCTAGACATTTCTTTCATAATGTAACATATTTTAAATATTTGATAATTAAAAAATTCATGTGACTCTAGAATTTTCCAAAAAGATGTAAACAACTTTGTCAAAAACAGTTTATTTTTTCTTTAAAATTTTTGGAAGGATGTTATAGTACAGTGCACAGAATTCTATGGCAGTAGTGCCATTTTGATTACAACAATTGGATTAATAATTTTAAGATGTATGGTTTCGGAATCCCAGCGCTTCGTTTGGTAGTGTTTTTTTTAAAGGGATGGCAGAAGTTTTAGAAGGATGTAACATGCAAAATTAAAACATCAGTAAACTTTTTGCAAACAATATCAAAAAGTATGTGTCATTGTAGCACCCTTAGATATGTAATTTAACACATATTGATCTCATGCTCAAAGGAGTATTCTCATTATGAATACATATTTTAAAAATACTATTTTTGTTTATTCCTAAGGTATTAAAAGGTACGAAATTGCCCCTCCTCCTCTGAAATAGCCCTGTAAGTGGGGCGCCAAATTTCGGTGAAGTATTCAGATCGCCGTTTACCTTACAGATCGCTGCCTGCCCCTAACGTAAATACAATCTTCACACAACTTTCACGCGTAAAGTTGTCTCAGTTATGTAGGTCAATGAGCGGATGTGTTTGACAGAAGGCGATATATGTTCAAAAAGGAAAGGAGACTGAAACACATTAGGTCATCTAATGCACAAGATACCTCAAAGATTCTTTTGATGTGTAGGTCATATTTTTTTTTGTAGGAAGAAACAATTCGACGCTTTCCCTCATTTTCATTATGATATCAAATTATATTCATGTCACAACACATAATAATAGAAATCCTCAAGCCGAGCATCTTTGAGTAATTATTTCTTTCAAAAAAATATTTCATTAATATCAAATCAATTCCTACCAACAACCACAAAATGTTTACAAAAAGAACGTTTCTTCTGAATTCACCCCCCCCGGCACGGTTATAATGATATCGAGACACGAAATTAAGACTCCTACAAAACACGAACAAAATTACTTGAAACATATCAACAAGTTGTTCGCGCGTTCCGATACTTTGACATACGATAAACGGTGCTAGGCGCAGTCCAATTCCGGCTGCCCTGGCAGGCCCAGCGAGGCCCTGCGCGGGCGGCCCGGAGCCGAACAATCGATCGAGCGGGCGCGGACCGGCCTGGCCCCGCGACAGGGCGG